ACGCATATATAGAAGGAAAAGCTTCGAATGAAGGATGGCGGGATGTTTTGCCAGCTTGTTGTTGTGCTTACATCTCCCCAAGTGATCAACCTGGAACGAACCTGATTGCACGATCGCCATCGACATTGGTCAGGCTTTGTTTATCGTTTTTCCCACAGCCAAACTCATGGCAGAGGTTGTGGGAGCCCCCTGTACTGGAATGTGTGGCGCGCCAACACCGCCTAGACACTTTGATCCATTTCACTCAATTTCCTGATATCACATGTTGTCCATCCCGATGTTTTCGCTGTTGGATTGAGGCACGGAAAACACTCGTCTCAGCAGACGATGTGCTGACATGCGTAGCATAAGGCCGCGTCATCTGAGTTTATTTCAATGGATGTTTTCCGTGACTGAAGTACAGGCTGTACAAACAATTGACCGTTTCTCGATTACCTCGTGATGTTTTCGTCGACGGCACCCGGCTACGTTGTGAGTTCGGTGACGGCAACTGCAACCAGCAATATTTTTTGAGAAGTCAGGGAAGGTAGGTGCCGTTAAAACATCGTCCGAACAATTCATGCATCGCCACCATACAGTGATGCAGCCGTTGACGTGGCCTGAAGCCTGCGGTAACCAAGGTCCAGCGGCATCTTGTTTTGACGCCTCACGTGACTCGAATCAGCAGACAAGCATCCTAACACTAAGGTTCATGCAGTGATCACCTCGGAAGTTCAAGTCAGTGCTAGTACAACTACCGAGGTAGGCAGAATTCACCACTGCTGCACCATTATTTCCAAGAAGCACGCCCAAAGACTGCACGCTGATAATCAGAAAGATGCACTCCGTAAGTCCAATAAAGTAGTGTTCATTTCATTCACCAAAGCCTGTATTCTGCTCTAGTGTGGGTGCAATTGCTGGCTTCCGCGTACGAATTATAATGGTAGTTATGTAGACTAAATAAAATATAAAAAAATAAAGAATTACAGGTGTTCCTGTTTGCTGTGAACTTGAATGCTCCAAGCTGCAGCTGAGCCGTCAGCCCTAATTCTGGAACCTCCGGGCAAAGCACTTAAATCGGGCTGGAATATGGTTGAGGAGGGGAAACGGAAAGTGTGCAAGAAGGCCCTCAGCTGAAGGATGGGTTTTTTAAACGCATTTCTGTATAAAGAAGGTAAGGCGATCAGACTGATTACACCGGATGTGGCGTGATAACAATTTTGGTTCTAACTTGCATGTTTGTATACCAATTTGTCTAATGCTAGGGCACCCATCCTATCTGGCTCCACTACACAAATACAAGTGTCTTTAGGAAACAATTCACTGTGATTGTTCCAACCTGGCAGACTAGGAGACCATTTTCGCCAGATTTCTACGCACTGAGCAACTCGGTACGATATACGCTGTTGGTGGCAAAATGAACTCCCCACTCAAGTACCATTCAGTCGGTCGCAGATGAATGCGAACCACCAGTTCGCGATTATGCTCAGTCTGTTTTTAGCGGCTACACACGTGACTTTTGATGTGGTTGGCTACGGTTACAGGTAACTGTCATAAACTTTAAATGGATTAATAGCATTTGCTCACACTGAACGGGAGGTTGACCAAGTTAGTCATTTGCAAATCGCCAAACAAAATTGGAGGAGTTGGCCTGCCAACCGTGCTCATGTGACAGAAGTACGAGTTGAAACTCTAGAACGTTAAGATTGTCAACTTCATTTTGGAGAGTTTCTTGTTGTCTGAACTAATCATATGGCAGCCGGAAAGTAAATGTGCATACAGGTGCCCACAAGCACGAATGTTTGGCTCAAAATGCGATTGCCCAAATTTGCTAGTTTCAACCGTACGTTGAATTCGCTAACGGAAGTGCCGATGACTCGACACTATTCGGAGCCCGGCGATCAGATTTGTGATCCAACTTGTCCAAATCCGGATGATGGTTTGACGAATGTCATGTTCGTCTTCAGTATTCTTTAGGCCATCCGAACAAAATAAACACGCCTGCTACATGCATGTAGTCCACTGACATGAGAAAGTATAAACACGACGTTGACAAGCTGGATCACAAGCCTACGTGTCCACTGTTTTACTAGAAGACTTAAATAAATGCAATTGAATATCCCGTTTTTGGTGACCCAGTCAAAGTAAACGTGTCACGCTGGTCGCTTGCTTTTCAGCTGTAAAAATATGACATAAATCCTGTGAAAATTGAGTTTGTTTGCAGAGGGAAGGAGTATCTGTCGAAGGGATTTGTCAAAGACTGAGGTCAGCTTACACTAATGTTGTTGTAGTTTGGCTTAGTTTATCGATCATGCGGCTCCGATGAATGTTGCGAAAATTCCAAATCTTTGGTGGTTTCCTAATAGTCGCTCATCTTCGTTGCCGATTGACGCTGATGGAAGTAACACAATCTCCAGTACATTGTTCCTCATTTATGCTGAAGCCTTGATGTCTTGAATTCGTTGAACCGCACGTGGTACGTTTGGAAATGGTCAGAAAAGGTGTGCTTTGAAATACGTTGATTACGGGTTTGCCAACCGGCAAACAATCGGTCCATTAGAATAATTGGGTTGGCTTTTCATTCGTCATAATAATTTCAGCTGCTCAATTTGTTCATCAGAACAATCAGACGGATTCTCAGACTGCAATGGGGTAATTGTTCGAGCAGAATGGATAGTAATTAGCCACATGACAAATCAAAAGAATTCAGTCCCAGGAGTAGAACACTCGGTTGAACAAGTGGCGAAATATTTCACAAAGAACAAACACGGCTGACCGCAGTGCTGACTAGTCAGTAAGCGGCTAAACGGAATGGATTACAAATTTGTAGACAAAAAAGAAAAATGCCGCTTTCCAAATTGCGGGATTAGCACATTCTGACAAGCCACACTGCTGCCACCGGGATAAATGCATTCGCCCTCATGAATTACTGTTTTCCCATTCAAGTCGCCTAGAAAAGTACTTCAAAAACCAGTTCACATGCAGTCATCAAACGTAAATTGTCATAGATCATCTGCCGAGGATAAACCTAAACGCGAAATATATGAGTGCGAAATCATCTAAAATGTTTTGCTAGAGGGTATTTTATCCTAACCAGGGCGCATACGAGGTTACCACCGCATCACCATAAGCATCATCATCATCATCATCATCATCGACGATTTTCTCCCGCATGGATCCAACATAATGTGCAGATTTATAATCAGGTATTATTGTGAGGCGATATGGGTCGGACACCTGAAACTATATCTTGTTCCCCGATCGTGGTGAACAACATGGTCCCATGTGTAAAACAAGGATATAGCAGTTTGAGAACCGGTTGGATGCGCTCTAGAAACGACAAAGTTAAGCGTAGGCAAAAGCGTTTATATTCTTGGTATAAGGCGATGCGCAGAGTTCCGCGCGTTGAATGCCTGCAGTCATGTTAAAACTCTATTAGTCCGCAGTAATCCTCCATCTCGTCCACCTAGGATATATCTTTACTCCAGTTTAATAAAAGCGAGTTAGATAATTAGCAGTCTGGGGAAAGCCGGTGCGCACTAACAGGTCATACGGCTGGATGTTCTCAACCAGGTGTGCTTGGTGCACATTACTAAGATGTGAGCATTGTCCAAAAATGATATGTAATTTGTTAGGGAGGGCAATTAATATCGGGCTGCGAATATAGTCACTTCAAATGACTAATACTCTCATGCTGCAATCGACCCGACGGGACAAATGGAGATAGTGCCAGTGTGGTCAGGAATCACTGGTACAAAATAGTTTCACGGGGTCTATTTAAGCCGGGGAATGTGATCAAACTAGTCATTGTGGAACTGCATGGCAACGTGAATTTATCCGTGCGAATTGACGAGAGCAGTCTGGAAGAAAAGCATCCTGCATTATTCGGCCATAGCGCCGGGCATCATCTACCACCTGATTTGACCCAATCGAAAGGTTATTCAGCCAGTGTGAACATAGCACTGAACAACTGCGTACCACAGATTAACTGTTCCCAACCAAATGATGCTGCTACGGATTTGTGCATCACTTAGCGGTGGTGTAAATTTCCGGCAGAATTATGAAATGTTCTCAGGTACTCAAACAACTCACGAATCGTGATTTTGAGAAACGTAATTTCTGTGTCCCCATTATAGTGTATTGTAACCTGGTGAATTTTATTGCGGAACAATGCAATGTAGTGGAGAGTGTGCTTTGAAATACGTTGATTATGGTTTTGCCAGTCGCCAGACTATCGGTCCATTAGAATATATGTGTTGGCTTTTCGTTCGTCATAATAATTTCAGTTGCTCAAGATATTCATGAGAACATTATGACGGATTCTCTGACTGTCCGATTTGACATTCACAATTCTATAATTGTTAGCCAGGGCTAAATATCATCGACTACGTTTAACTGAGAAAGGTCTTCGTCAGGGCACGCAACTTCGGTTTGGCAAACATATTTTTGCCGCGTAATTCTACACAAAAGAGTTTTGTACATTTGTCCAAATGGAGGGTTTTAAAGGTGAACGAGTTCTCAAACCACCACAGCCAACCTGTCCTGAAATGTCCCTTAAGTTTGGGAGGACCACTTTGTGATAAGTTATGGAAACAAACGTTTACAGAAATTTCAATGAATGAATTACTCTTACATTCACAGCACAGATGCATAGCGAAACCGAGGAAAACCAGAGCGTGATTTTCCTTTGCAGTGAAGAGTTCTCCATTAAACGTAGGAGTTCGGTGAATTTTTGTCTGAAACCAGATTTTAGCTATTAACGATCTAACGCCTTGACAGTGCTCTGAAGAGAACACACCACGTAAACGATAGTGTTTTCTTGCCCTGGCAATTGAGCCAAAAATTCCGGAATTTTCACCCTACGGTTACAACTGACCAGAAACTCTAAAGTTGCTTCTGCAACCGGATGACTTTCCTCTTTCATGCGGTTACCCTGATGTTTCCTACAATTGATTGTATTTCCCTACTTCCAATACGCGAATCTTTCTACCATTTTATTGATTTTTATTTTCCTGCTACAGACGGTATTAAACAAGAGCAGTGCCGAACCACTGCTAACCGAGATGTTGCTAACGCATTCACGGTCAGTCCCTCCGCAGATGATGCGGGTCGTATTTCGCCATTATATTTCTAATGAAATTTACACGTGATTTTGCAAACCGTATTCAGGAATTCCTTAAAACGCAGCACCATCGAGGCGTAAATTTATTGCTACTTATTTTGATTTTGTAAGCCATATGCTCCAGATTTACAAATGTTCCGCAGAATCATCAGAGATGCAGAAGTATCAGCAAAGTCTTCGACTCGCAAGTGTAATATTGATCATCTGAGTCGCCACGAATTCGGCAAAATCCAATTTGGAAATATCTAGGTTGAAGTCATTAGAAGCTCGCAACTACATGGACTTGTTCGCAGGGCTCTGAAAGCTCAGCCCGTCGCCATGCGACATTGCAAAATAATTCTTCCTCTGCGACTCTCACACCATGCAGTAAGCTAACCTGTCCATTGATTATCAAATGGTATTTCTTGGACTTTTCTGTCTTCTAAACGACCCTTGCTCTACATCGTACAACATAACTGAACGATGCAACTGTGTGGATTTTTCCAAAACTATTCAATTTCCGGCATTCTATTTACCCGACCATAAAGCATGTTCATCCCCGCGTAGCTCATTAGTCCCCTGTAGTTCTGTTTGTTACTTATCGCGCAGGAATTTAACTGCAATCCGTAGTGTGAGTGGATCCGTTTCCAAAATGAATGTTTATTATAAAATGCCCTGTTTTGTTTGTGTACGGAGTGGAAATGTTGATCCCTATTCCCAGCCCAAACTCCCCTTGAATGGTCAACTGTTCTCCAAAGAAAATCCAGCAACCCACAACTTGCTGACCAGGATTTCTAAAGTTGTTCGATTAAATCGACATGAGTTTGGGCATTGACGTATGTACCTGTCGCTTCGGTCAACATAATGAAATTCCATGAAGCAAAAAATCGCATAACTAAAGCTAGCTTGAAGATACCAAACGTATGCGATATTGAAAACAGTGTTCGAAACGAAGCTGAAAACATCGGATACGTTAGTATCAGGAACTTCCAAAAGAGGGCCACGCGAATGATTATGGTCTACGGTCATAATCTCGCGACACTGATTGACATGAGCAAATGCCTCTGCATGTGCGTCCCTTCTAAGGATGACAAATTGATGTCCGCATCAGCTTGATCAATTTAACCGAATGATCAACAATTTTAGTCATTTAGGCTTTTCGGGGAAGCCAGCACCATCATGCAAAATTGATCAATCAGTTTACTATTGGCAGAAATATTCTCATGACAACCTCATTCCTTAGCAAGAATGTAGCTACCAATCACCAGACGAACAACATAGGGGTCGAGCGGAGACTATTAAGAACATCCTTGAATGATCGACTTTTTCTTCAACCGGAGAATACAAAATTGCCGAAACTTCGCACTGCTTTGGAGTATACATGTCTGTGAGTTGGTCGTGGCGAAATTCTCAAGCAAGATATGCCACCGGAATTTCCGAAAATACATTCATGTAAGGTCTGGACAAGATAGGATCAATGCGCTACTATTTAAAATAAACCGGGTTCCACCATAAATTTGTACCAGCGCAATCCAAAGGACGTTGCGTTCACAAATTCTGTCTACTCCTCGCGTCTTTCATCAAGAAGTAAGGAGAAACAAGCGAGCACTATGTTTACGAAATCCAATATGAATGGCCCGCATAATATTGTCCACATTTCTGGCTACAATAACAAGGTTTCCGAACTCACCGACGTGGCTTTTGATATTAAACGGTGTTGAATCGAAGCCACATCACTTTTTGATGTTTGAGCCATATAAATTAGCTAGTAATAATGACAACACCATATATTTCGCATCACTAAAAACGGAGTTTCTGGCTAAATGTATTGCTGGGTACGTCTGCTAGTAGGATCGATTTTCAAGTATGACCATTAGCAATAACAAACTCCTAACTAGAACGCAAATTCAACGGCTTCGTTTAAAGCACACGACAAAACCCCATCGAAAACTGTTGACCCGTGCTTCAGCAATCGTTCCTTCCGTTACCAATGTGCTAAGACGAGGTTAATATGTAGCGATTGCAAGTAGCAACCTTAGGTCCATCATCGTGCAACCAAATTTATCAGAATCAACTTTTAAATTTCCTATCCTTCAACGTACCAGTTACTGAGACCCCTGAATGAGCTTTAACCCCTTGAACTTTTCTGTATCGCAAAGTGAGAGTTCAAATAAAGTTCAGGTTAGCATTTTGTTTGTCGGTGTGTGAACCGACCTTGTTACCTTCAACTAGTCAAGTTACCAACAAAGGTCTCGCTTAAAGTTTCATTCGTTCCCCAGTGAATGGTGGCATGACGTTGGGTGCAAATTTCCGTAGATGAATGCAGACCACTTCCAGTTTCACCAGGTTTCGATTCTCATGGACTCCAGTGTTCAGGTGCCCCAAGTTAGGCCTTAAATTGCCTGTAACATTCGTGCAATCACCTCATTACTACAATATCAAGAATGAGTTTCCGAATCTACGATAAACATGAGAACCTATGTTTTCACTTGGATTCCGTAGACTTGGCCACCAGCTGACTCACCTCACGGTCTATGAATGAACAATCACATGTCACTAGCCGGCCAGGTTCTTTCTAATGCTTGTGTTCTGGTTTCATTCCTATGGTAAGTTTCCTTAACCCTGAGGGATACAAAAGTCTAGTGAATGCCCTGTCTTTGGGAACAGGGACTCGCCAGCAGACTTACTACGGAAGACAAGTCAAGAAATAGCCAAATTTACGTACACTAACGACCAAACAATCTCACTTATGTGTAGGCGCACAATTTGCAACGTCATTAGGGATCATCCGCATCCAGTCGTTTCAATTGTGTAAAGGTGCAGCTACTCGCAAATGAAGGCATGCATGCGGACTGCGGTTTTCTTCTTTTCAACCGTATTGGGTCCTGAGAACAGTACATGTGCAGAATGAGCATTGCGACAACCGAAACAACAGTTGTGGTCAGGAAACATAACCCTGGAGACCCTATGAGGGCCAGTCTGATAGTTGTCTTCCAGGGTAGTTTTGGGCGCATGATGTCCTTAGGTCAACATAGTGACAGGCTTACGATCAAGCCGCTAAGTTTATTGAACTGACGAATGCTTAAGCCGACCAATCCTTGGTCGCCTAGGCAGGGCCAAGGCAGCAGTTTTCAAGCTAAAGCTTCTAGTTGCTACTTCAATGTGAACCACGGAATTATTTGTGGACTGGACAACTGTTCCACTTACTGCGCAAAATGGGCTCTGTCAGAGGACGCTCACCAGGCCTGAGCTTTCTCCCACATAGCCACATTACATACAGGTAACGATAGCCTAAAAAATGCATGCGACATGACTTAGCGTAGAGTGTGTGTGGTCAGCTTCCGATCGCGGTTCCGCTAAGCCTCGGGTCCCGTTTGGTAGTTCAAAACACCTATGGCAAGCTATCCCAAATTTCCGGAGGCATACCTATCCGGCTGGAGCAATGAACATTGTGTTGTGTGCCCGCGAGACCTGGACGCGCATTAGACGACTTCAATTCCTCAAAGACTGTGGCCTGAAAAACGTGGATGATGAAGTTGTACGTCGTCGAATCCGCAGAGACAATTGAAAATGGTAGTGTGGCCAGCACAAAAACCTGTGTTGATCACACTGGGTACTCTGCATGCGACCGGGCTTTTCTTATAAGTTTGTGGTGGCATGTTGCAGTGGCTGATTTGAATTCCGCGTTCAATTTACCAATCGTGCTTGGGGATTTGGTCCACGCGGTATATTGCTTGAAGACATGTTACTTTATCCTAAAATCCACAAGATCGGCCAACAATCTTCAGGTTACTCAGATTCCCATGAAGGCTCATCATCATGCATGAGTATTTAGATTGTCCTAGTTGACTGGAAATCCCCGTGGTAGTTATCAGAAAAACGAAGCTAGCAAATATAGCTTGTATTTTTCCGTGCTTAATTTTTTCGGCATCCGCCGCTGAATATCTGGACACACGCTATTAATTCTTTTCAAACCAAACGACCTTAATGCTCATAATTACAACGGGTGGCTCCGTTGAACGGTGGTATCTCCGCAGTGGATTTCACGGGTGAGTAATGCACCAAGGATGATGGGCAGCAAGCAGTCTGAAATATTTTCGTTCTGAGATATTTGTCGCAAAGCTGTTGGGTTCCATACACATGGGGTCTTTATTATTTCGGATAATAAATGAAATCGCACATTCTCAGTTCCACAATAATTGTAAAAGTCGTGCAAAGTTTCAAAGATCGAAATTACCGCAGCAAATCAACATGTGATGATGGCCACCGCACCTATTGCAACTTTGACGTAGGTCAAGGTGCTTTGTGAAATGACGAGCGTCGTCGTCCGAGCGGAGGCCGGACATCGGCCGTTGGGTGTGTCGGCTACATGTGTTGTGCTGACTGTGTCGGTTGGCCATGTTCTCTTCGAATATATGTGGAGTAGACCGTGAATAAACAACCATGTAAAAATATGTTGTGCCCCTAACGAGTTCACAGAGCCCATTGTTCACCAAAGTTTGGTATATACATATATATATATATATCATTGTCAGCTGTAAGAACCGTTTACTTGCCGTACAATGCCTTTAGCTGCCACGGTTCATCGATGGTTTAGAGGGGTTGGGTAGGTAGCCGCGCATTGGATGCGGGAACTAATAAATTTAATCTTGCATGCACGAGTGCTCTCAAAGGCGCGACTGGGACATGCCTGGCAATATCTAAAACCATTCATGTGGCTCGTCTATGGGTCACCATCCAGGAAGGCGGTAGTGACCAGCGCACCTGAGTTTGCTGGTAATGGCTTTTATAATTCGTTGCCAAGTTATTGTTTGATCGCCTCTGGCTTGTTTCCACCCCCACGTGGTTGTGCAAAAAAAACCTTCCCGGAAATTGGTCGGCTGGCATACGCCGCACGCGGCCAAACCAGCGCAACCGATGCAGTATGATCAGTTCATCCATCGAGAGTGAGTTATTTATTCCGATTTAATTCAACATTGCCGATCCGGTGTTCCCACCCGACTCGGGCAATACTCAAAGCATCAAACCGTCGCACGAGGATAACTGTCTTCAAAATGACGCAGTACAGGGGGCAGATTTCAATTAGAATAGTAGATCTACGGATAGTTTCGAGACAAAGGATAGAAACACAGTTTAGCAATGGTGAGAAAAAGCTCATGAAGCAAACCTAAACCGGTTAATGGAGTCTTGAGAAACGAACCCCCAATTATATGAAAAACAGTAACGCCGACACATTGATCACCAGCAATTGGGGTGCGTCTGGGAGAAATCGAGACATTCTACGGGGAACTACTCTCGGGGGCTCTATTGACGTGCAAAGATGACCCATATGAACTGGATTACATTCCTTCTGTGCATACAGACAGGCGAATTCCAACAGATTTGATGAGCTTGGAAGAACACATTGAATTTCGGGCGAATGAGTGCAATGGAATCCAGTGATCGTATAGATCCGTTTTTCTGCACTTTAAAGATAACGATGAATTTGTGTACTACTCGGAAGCCTGCGTGATCTAGATGACCAATAAGGAGACCGGCTTGGTTCATCTAGTGACACTCGTACAAGAAACACGCCAGATTATCTCTGAGAAATTTTGTTTTCTGATAAATGTTGAGAATTCAAAAAATCCGGACATATTGTGCCTCGTATCATCAATCGGTATTACCAAAGGATGGTGGCATTCGCGTACTCGAGAGATCAATTATCTCAGTCACCATCAAGAAGAACTCACTTTGATTCAGCGGCGTTGAGTTCTCAACGGAGGATCAGAATTGCTCCTCTGAGGGAAGACTGGGCATTTCGTTCGCTTTCAAACTCAAGCGCTTTCGTTGGAACACACATTGAGTCTTCAAAGCCATATGGCCGAAGACAATTTTACTGCAGTAGCAGAATCCCACTGAACATTAGCTCGAAATATCGGACGTCACGCCGTTCCGACGAAGTTTTATACCACAAAAACACGAGTGTTGAAGAATGTCTGTAATTATCTTGCAGTTTTTACTTCTGAGTATATATACAGTGCGTAATCTCCCAACTCGCGCCCCAGACCAAATATGCTCTAGCCTCCAGATGGAGGTACCGCATCAAAAGCATCGTAACAATGGAACCTGATCAAAAGAGAATACGGGGACAACGAAATAACGCTCATCGGATTCATTTTACTGAAGGAAAGTAAGTAGCCATGATTCAATTCGCTTTCCCTCAAAAACGTCGGTATATGCTAGCGCCCCAAGACGAATTTGTGAACAAGTGTATCGTCAGAGACAAAGTCGATTAACAATCTCCGGAGTGAATATGCACCCTAATTTTGAAGGCACCGACCAAGCAGGAAGTATTCTGCGGATGTTGCCATTTTCATCTGTATAGTTCCGCTTCTCGCCGGCCCCAAAAACCCCATCGAATTTGATGTTTGGATTTCAAAATTTGATGCTTCTCATCTACTACACAGCTGGATAATATGTGAAATTTATGCTCGTATCCAGGAAAAGAAAATATACTTCGCCGAACGGCTTTAGTTACCGAGTAAGCACTTCAACACGCAAACAGCGTACGGATCTGCAGCTGCCATAACAGGCACTGAAAACACAGACATTTTTATTTTTTTCCAATCTGGGATAGCGTTCGTACTGCCGTCCCGACATGAATGCCTTAGAAGTTCATAATGTGGCGCAACTCTGCACGATCACCTAGCGTGTTGAACGAACGAAAATAATGAAACGTAGTGAAAACCCTGAATGCAGAACACACATGCAGGTAACCACTGGGCTTCGCGTTTAGCTCTGAAACGAATATCGAATACATATAGACGAGAGTAAAAGATATACGACGATACGTTTGTTGTTGCCTGTCACAGGAAACGTATTGCGTAGATAAGCAGACATTCATTGCACACACACTTCAGAAAGAAACTACATAAGCCACGGCACGAAGTATACCTAATAATAATCCGGATATCAAATCCAATCTGATGAGCAACTCAACTAGGCCCGTTGGGACCCATGATCGCAAACAGCTCAACCATGCAATTCATCTCACGACCAGTGACCTAAATGGATACCCGAGAACTGCATCCAACTGATGTACCACAGCATACACGAAACCGGTAGCAGGCTGCCGAAGGGCTCTCAACAACCTACTAAATACCATATTATGTCAAAACTTGACGGATAAACGTTCATCGAATTTTTCAATGACTACTTCTCATACCCACCCAACCAACGCACACCATATTGGAAAGAAGGCCTGAGGAACTCCAGCAAATCCATGTGTGTACGTCCAACTGTGACTGTCACGCTGTCCACCACGCGAGATGGTTATTTTCTTTAACACAACTGGAACAAATCACATGCTACTAGGAATGTAGATACGACACTGAACGAGCCAACATATGACGAAAAGTTGACACTTCCGTCAAACCAGGGAGGCCTCTGGAAAGCTGACAAGAAGAAACCTGGCTCCACACACGTCAGCGGATTCAAGTTGCACACATTAACCATCGGTTACATCCAAGACGTCAATATGGATCTGGCAGCCGCTTACCAAGTCAGAAGGATAGGAATCCGAGGACATTACCAGTGTTAACCGTTTACGCAATAAAAACAACCACAGGCAGTGGAGCTTTGGTTCCCTTCCCACAAGTCAACAATGGATCTAACAGACGTGCGCGATGACTTCGCAACCACTGAGGATAAGAATGTCATTCCACATACTCCTCCTATAACATCATACATTTTTTTAAATGTCTCCCTCGCCAAATGAACACATTGTTGCCCAGACGCTTATTTTATCTCAAACTTATTTCTTCTCAACGGGTTTTTGAAGTGATGAAGTGTTTGGCTGGTTTGTATGGAGTATATGCTTGTAATAAACTCTGACGCGTCCGCCATGAATTGCACGCGCTGACACAGGCAGAGTTTCCCAAATAGCGGTTGCATTGACAAGGGGATTATTTCACGGTCGACTTGTCGAAAGTGGTTAAATCAATCTGCGGGGATTCGAAATGCTTGCACAAATGACAAATATAAACTGGGTGTCATCCTCCCGTTCATTGGTGAACATTGGCGTAGGCAGGCTATCGCCGCCTTCTACCTGTTTCTTTGGTTTCCGCCCACGAATTATTGGGACTACTGCTGTTGACACAATGTATTCAGAATGTGTTAATGGACGTGCGACAAGCAGCCTACTAGGCACAACAACTAACATAACGCTGCACACCACTACACTACCCAATAAATCGCTGACGATATCATTTCGATTGGAAATGAAACGCTTGCAATCAAACTGCCTAGGTCAGCGAACACCCCAGCGACCATGTACGCTACCAGGACAACAAACATTTTCCTCTACGGACTACCATAATTTCCTCAGCATGTTACATGCAGCTCAAAACAATTCAACCAAAATTTCAGAAAACACCAGTTTCCAATCTCGATCCCGGCAGCGTCCGCATTAGTGCTCACCTACATTAGGTGTAGGAGTGCGTTATAATTCATTCACCATTTGGAAACAGATGGACTCGCAAAGCGAACTTGCTAATTTTGACTATGACGTGCCGCG